AATAAGGATAGGGATAAGGATCTTTTTAAAAAAGATGAAGTTTTTATAAGACTTAGGCTTCATGAAAACAAATAAAGTTTCACCTCAAATCCTTATCCGGAAACTTAAAAAATTGTGTAGATCTTGTAAATCTATGAACACTTATTTTAAGGCGAAATTGATGGTATAGATAATTTGTTACATTATATGCTATTTTTAGAGATTGAAATCCTAATTTTCTTTCACAACCATAATGTTTGAAGCTGAGATGTTTCCAATACTCGAATTGCAATTTTCAATGAGTTATAAGATGAGCTTTTGCCTATTCTGATAGGGTTGCAGCCCTATCAAACTATTTTCCTTATAAAAATAGCATATAAGCAAACCCCTTTGACAAAGACAGTATCTGTATACACTAACCCTTCTCTTTTCATGAAAGTATTTTTACGTGAAAAAACTCCCTCATATGATTAAGTGTGGGAGTTTTGTTTCATACCAATTTCTCCCAGTACATTTTTTCCCACTAAGTGAAAGCTAATTGATGTGAAAAATTCCCATACCCGACCACAGTAAGGAGTTTTTCATGTGGGGATACTTTCATAGAAGTATTTTCACATATATTACAACGTCTTTATATCTTGTCAATTTTAGAAAGTTCCGCATATGAGAGCCTGTCGATTTTGCTATATGGAAACCAAAAGAGTGCTTTATATTCGATTTTAGAAGATATCTGCTCTGACATTAGGGGGCATTGGGTAGGGTCAGGTCCGGGTCCAGCCAAACCTGGACCTAAAAACGAAAAAATATTATGGGACATGGACTTGGACCCAACTGGACCCAAAATCACAGGACCCTAACCCGGACTCGAAAATATAATGTGGGACTAGGGCTCGGACCTGGATCCGACTAGACCCAACTGGACCTGACCCAGAAATAAAAATATCTATATACTTAAATATTTCATAAATTCATTAAATATATACATGCATCATTTACATATTATAACTAAAAAATATAGAGCAATGATCTAATGCAACGGTTGTATAATAGTAAAATACAATCACACTTCTAGAAAACCATATTTGTGGTACTTGTATAACCCAAAAGTGTGTATGCACACTCTCTTCATCTCAATAATCAATCCAAAAAGAAAAAAGAGTTTGAGTTTGTTAAAATGCGAAAAGCTGTATATTCAGGTCTTAAGCCCCCATGGATCTTTATTATAGAAGCCATACAACTGAATTATTAAACTCCATAGATGTATTACAAAATGCATGTACTATATTATTAGAGATACCTTAGATGTGAGTATAATACCCTATTTATAGGGTTACATCTTTGTAGTACAGCCTGTGTACAAGTTGTTTACAACTTAATACTTAATTAAATGTGTACACAGTTGTGCAATTAAAGATATCACAATTGTGTAGTCAAAGATATCAAAAAAAATATTAGGTTGTGTATATTTCAACACTTCCCCTTAAACTCAATATGCGTTAAGAGAAAACAACTTAAGTTTGGACAAATGAAGGCAAGCCCCAAGAATAAGGCAGAATAGAAGAAGTTCGAGCAACGGCAAATCAGTAATCCTCAGAATCCGATGCCTCGAACTGAGAAAACTTGAGTAATAGTCCTCATGAACAGACAACCATAATAAAGTAGGCTCAAGCAATTTAATCTTCAAATCTTCGCTAAAGCTGAAGGTAAAAAAACTGGTAAAACAGCTGAGAAAACAAAATAGTATTTAGAAGAGCCAACAAAATTTGGTGAAAACCCAAAACCATTCATCATCTCGCAGATCATCATACATGATATCTTTGACTGCATAGTTGTGATATCTTTGATTGCACACCTATGTACACATTTAATTAAGTATTAAGTTGTAAACAGGTTGTACCACAAATATGTAACCCTATAAATATGGTATTAGACACACGTCTAAGGTATCTCTAATAATACAGTATATGCATTTTATGTAATATATTCATGGGGTTTAATAATTCAGTTGTGTGGCAGAGAGAGAGAGAAATAATTATACACAGAGAGAGGCAAATCATTGTAGAATGGTATAAAATTTTTACCTTGAAGAAGTGGAGGTTTCCACAAAATGAGCTCTTGCTGGCAGTAGAGAGAGAAGCCAGTGGCATCCTGCTGCAAGAGCATTTGAAACCCACAAAACAACCCTTGACGATTTTATTTCTCTACAAGGGAAAGAACTATAGCATCATTGAAGAAGGTGAAGAGAAAGTTTCATGATATGATTGTAGAGTAAATTTTTGCGAGTAGAGACAGAGGGTGAGCAAATTTCAAGAATCATGATTCGAAAGAGACAAAAAAGGAAGGAGATGCAAATCATCTAGACGAGACTGGGCGAAATCTTTTGTTTTTGCTTTTGTTTTTGTTTTTTTTTTTTTAACCAAGATACATTAGGAGAGAGATAAAAACACATACATGATATCCGAGGAAAACAAATCCTATCAATGTAGCATTTGGCATAAAAGGCATGGGATCCGGGTGGCTAAAAATCTTGGCCAAAGGCAATGGGACAAATGACGGAGGAGCTTTTATTCTCACATATCAAAATCAGAGTGGCTGAGACAGATGGCGGAAGCTTGCAGATTCACAGATTGGACCTACTCTGATACATATTAATACTCGAAAAGCTATATATTCGGGCCTTAGGCTCCATGGATCTATGTTATAGAAGTCACACAACTAAATTACAAAACCCATGGATGTATTACAGAATGCATACACTGTATTATTAAAAATACCTTAGATGTATATATAATACCCTATTAATAAGATTACATCTTTGTGGTACAGCTTGTATACGTGCTGTTTACAACTTTAATTAAACGTGTACACAATTATGCAGTCAAAGATATCATTAAAGATTTGTGAAGTCAAAGATATCATTAACTATATCAGGTTGTGTATATTTCAACAGATTTGAATCTAGATATGGTCAAAATGAGTTCCCTCCAATAACGAATCTAGACCATTCATTTGGTGAATTTCAAGATCTTAGCCTTTACAAACTCAAAAATATTTATTCATTTAATGATAATAAAGCCATCTAAAAAAAATTGAAAAAGAAAAAACCCTTCTAAGGCCTAGATCTAAGCATCTTATCAAATGGACGGCCTATCATTAGGCTAAAAAATACTTCTTAAATTGTGTTTTTAAATTTTTCTTTTTTATGATTGTTCATTAGAATGAAAATAGTATATATTTCAAAATTTGGATCAAACAAATGGCCTCAACATGATTTTTGAAGATTGTTGCATCATATTACTATACAACTGTTGTATGAACTCACTACCCCAAAATATATCGTTATATTATTTAAATATCATTTTAGTATTATATATTAATTATTATTTAAATATCAACACAATTCTAGTTAGGTCCAAGTCGGCGCTACATGAACCCAGACCCGAACTCGAATAGTATTTAGGTACAAGATTTGAACCCGAACCCAGACCCAACCCGTCAAGTCTAAGTTTTGGACTTATACCCAAACCGGGTTGGGTCACCCGTTAGGTCTACCTGTCGGGTAAGCGTCCATTGCCACCTCTATTCAACATGCCATGTTTTTAGAGGTAAACAATGCACTACACCGCATGCAATATCCACCGTTCGTTCACAACTACAAAGGCAATGAATTACACTTCTTTCGAGGGAAAACGGGGGACTTAGCTAATAATTCATCATCGTATTCATCCTTTTTTTGAAAGACATGGTTTCTATAAGGCTAGCCCGCATATTGTAGAAATGCGGGCTTGGCAATAAATATATTTTTTAAATATAATTTGGTCTTAATTTTTAGAGAATTTATAATCTTTAACATGTAGATCATGAATATGAAAAAACATAAAATTGAAAACTAAAAATAATAATTATACTAAAAAGACATTTGTACCGTTAGTTACAACTGTTTTTAGATGGACCACCTATTTGCATCCATCTTTAATATGGATGCTTTATACCTCCAAACCACATAGTGTAGAAATGGGGTCTAGCCCACATAAAACAATTTCCCTTTCTTGAATGGGCTGGGCCTTAGTGGTAGTATAGTCGAGTCCGATATGAAGTTTTAAAAACCCTTTCTTTAAAAAATAAAACAAAAAAAATAGGAGGAACCACTTAAATTACATGTTGCAAATTTATTTTTATTTTTTTGTAGACAGTTGAACTATCATAAAATTCTTACTATAAGCTTTTGCATGCATAGTCCTGAGTGTATGTACTTTCAATATTTATTTTATAGTGTTTGGTGCATTTGGGCTCAAATGTGTTATAGAATGCAAGGTCTCTATAATGGACAATTTAGATCACACCTCAAATCCCCTTAGACAACTCAAAAACCACCTCTTTCAATTTTTTGATGCAATCTTCACTATCCAATTCCATATGACAATAAAAATGAATTTCTTATTATGATTTTTCGATGCAATCTCCACCATCAAATTACATTCGACAGTGAAAATTAATCTTCTGACATGATTTTCTGATGCATCGTTCAATTACATTAGAGAGTGAAAGAATAATGAGACGGCCATTTTTCTAAGCTGTATATTAGAGTCAAAGACCCAAGATTTTGTGGACCTGAGATCAAAAACAGCCCACCGCAGTTAAAGGTAACGATTAAGCCAGGATCAGAATGTGTGAGATGGCTAGGGACATAAATAGGCTTTGTGAAGAACCTCCCTCCTTAAAATAGAGGAAGATAAATAAAGAAAAGTTAATATAGAAGATAAATGAACAAGTAAATGGATGGTCATTATTTTACCCTTTCAGCAGTAACGAAACAGCTAAAAAAGGCAAAAGCTCAGGGGAAAAAGCTACTAGGAAAATGAAAAAACAAGAAATGGAAAAATTATGTTCAAATAATAGAAATAAAAAGAGAAGATATAAATCATGATCAAATGGTTACATATATTTTGTTGGGCAACTGAAATATGGTTGATAAGTAAAACTAATCGAACAAAGATAAATTAAGGAAGATCCGATCAAAAACAAGATGAGCCTTTATAGGAGGAGGCTATGGCCTCCACTAGAAGAGACATTGTTGGCCATAGGATGAAAGAGGATGGGGAGGGGGAGAGAGGAGAAAGAGAAGAGGATAGAGATGGAGGAGGAGAGGAGAGAGATGGAGGAGGAGAGGAGGGAGAAAGTGAGAATGTAAGGCCTCGACAGGTAATGCTGGTTGCGGACCCCACGAGGGAATCGGCTGGTGCCCTCGATTGGACCATGTCTCATGCCCTCCTCAAGCATGACCGACTCCTCCTCCTCCATGTCGTGCCCCCGAGCCCCTCGTGGCTCCAGGCCTTCACTTCGACATTTGTGAGAAATGCACCACCCGCCGCCCCGGAGTTCTTGGTGGCGATGAGGGCAGCATGCGAAGCCAAGCACACGAAGAATTTGGTCGAGGCTGAGGTGGTGGAGATGCGAGGCAAGGACAAGGCCGCGACCGTGCTGGCGGAGACCAACGAGAGGTCAATCGACCTCCTTGTCGTGGGGCAGAAACGTAATTTCTCACAGAGCTTGCTTGGGTGGGTGTCTCTCTCCTGTCTGCCCCTTAATAGGGATGGACAAGTTTCTTTCATTTCTCTTTTTTCTTTTTCCATAACCTTGCACATTCCACTCTTGCAAGTCATGGCATACTTTCTCCATTGTTGAGTTTAAGACTGGCAATGGGCTGGGCGGCTTAGGCATACTTTCTCCATTGCTGAGTTTAAGACTGGCAATGGGCTGGGCGGCCTAGGCTCGTGCTAGGGCAACTTCAGCCCAATCGAGGCCAGGCAGGGCTACACTGGCCCTATATGGAACCGTGCCCCCCAGTTGTGAGCCCAAATTAAGCTTTATCCATGGCTGTTATAATAGGAAAAGTACAGAATGTGACCGTTTACATCTAGTAGAAGGTAATCACTCTTAATCTTGACATTAAATTTATTCTACTGACCAAGCTCAAACTTCTAAAGAAATTTTTTCCAACATTATGATAAACCCAAACTATCAAATTTCACATGGGATGGTTGTAAGTAATTGTAACCACCTTTTATGGTCTATTTTATACAATCCCCTCATAATATGCTTTCCCTCATAATATGCTTTGTATATTTATTCGTAGATCTTCCTTTCTGGATTAGCCTTTTGACATTGTTTCCTTTTGACAAAGTTGTATATTTTGACAAAGTTACGTATGAATGAAACTTGCGAGCCTTACTAGTCTTCTTTCCCTTCTCAATTTGTGCGTGTCATCCTTGCGCAGGGGCCATACTAATCTTATCTGTATCATTCCAATTTTATCGTGATTTATGCCGTTGTTTGATGTTGTTTTTTGTTGTGGTTGTAGATGTCGGTTAAGTAATGGCCTCCCCAACAGGGGAATGGATACAGCTGAGTACTGCATTGAGAATAGCAAATGCCTCTGTGTTGGGGTCCAAAAGAAGGGCCAAAATGCAGGCTATCTCCTCAGCACCAAGAACCACAAGAACTTTTGGCTTCTTGCCTAGCTAAAACCTCTCTCTCTCTCTCTCTCTCTTTTTAAATCCTCAAGAACTTTTGGCTTTCATGTAGCACTTGATCTCTCTCCGTCACTCAAGAATATTCTTGTAAGCCATGTTTGTACTTCGTATCAATGCTAGACACGGTCACTCTATGGGAACATAGATTAACATTGAGTGCCATCTGAAGATTCTTAGGATAGAAGAAATTTTTTTTCCATTTTCAAATTGAAAACACTAATCTCAGTGGATAAAGGCGTACATGCCCTTCCTTATTTCAAGTTTCAAGCATAGGACAATATTTTTTAATGAAAAACAACTCTATTATTGTTAAATCTTGCTGAAAATGGAACAATGCGCTGCGGCACCCACCACCCTGACGACTTCTACCAAATAACTCGTTATCTTAATGAAAACAATATGTTCTGAATTTGAACTCAGAACAACCACAATACTTGGGTAATTTAAGTCAAGTAAAAGAAACAAAATATCATCTACTAATAGTTCTAGATTCTAGAACTGGTGCCATTTAGGGATCTTTTGATAAAATAATTGTGGATTTGCCTAATAGCTACTTTTTTTGTATTAGCTGATTTAACCATCTAGCTTATTTGTGAGAAAATATCATTAAAATGGTCAATGAAATTGGAAGAATAGCATACAAATTACCATAAAAATGGTTATTTTTCAAAAAAATTGACATTTATAGTGAATGTTGCCACTTACGAGCTTAAAAAATTTTGAGCTCAAGGCGAAACACCATGATATGCACAAAGGACTCCTACTTATACATCTCTCGCACCTTTTTTACGAGTGTTTAGTCCCACCTTCCCCCCCCTTCCTCTCTCTCTCTCTCTCCGATTCATTTACGAAACACCGCCCGTATTTGAATTCTACCTATAAAATGTACAAAAAAGTAAGCAAATTTTTTATCATGTTAAGTAGAACAAGTTCAGATTAGATTACCACTTAAATTTTTTTTTTAAGAAATAAAATAAAGTCGCAACCTAAATAGAAGCTATGAGAGAGGAAGAGTGGTCCAATATATTTGTCTGACAGAGTAAGAAACAGAGAGATATCCAATGTGTTTGTGTGATAGAGAGATGTACAATGGTTTATGCTTGTGTACAAGAGAGAGATAGAGGTCCAATACATCGATATATGTGTATACAAGTAAAAGAAAGAAATGCCTAACGTGTTTTCTGTGAGAATGTGCAAGAGAAAGAGAGGGCCAACGTGTGTGAGAAAAAATTCAGACGCAAAACCAACAAATAGCATCACAAAACTAGTATCAAAAACCATCTTCTCCCAGTTTCTTCACTAAATATCACAAAATACATATCAAAATTTCTGTAAAAGTAACATACCAAATTTAGTATCAAAATTAATATCACTAGACACTCAGACATTTTGAAAAATATTTTTTACAGAAAAGTATCAATAGACACTCAGATAAGAAATAACATCTCAAATTCAAGTTATTGCATTGAAATTCCACAATGCAATAACCCTATCCTTTTTTTTTTGGAAACTCAAAAAATAATATTTGTAATAACATTTAATATTTCTTTCCAATTTTTTAAAAGGCCAGTTCCAGCCGATTCTCAGCTCGGGATTGCTGATCCGCCATTCTGACAGTTTTTCAAATGGATGATTCGGTCACGTATCTAGTTTAAAACCTTGATAAAAACTATCACCTTAAAGCATACTTCATAAGGTTTTCTTCAATTCAAGGGCGGGTCCAGAATTTTGAAATTGTTACGCAATGTGCACCTCCAATAAAGAATGCATCACACTTGATCTACACTAACTTTATCATAACTTAGCCATAATGTAAAAAATAGAAAGGATAAAAAGAAGAGGGAAACCCATTACAGACAAATACAGGAGAAACATAGAACTAAAGTTCTGAATGGTCCAATGCACCACTGTCATTAATCGTTGGTGCCCCAGGTCTCATCTCCTGATGGGTGGGAATAGAACCTGTTTTCATGGCCTCCATTATCTTTCTCTGCAACTTCAACCACCCAATTCTTTTGGAGACTATGTAAAGGACTACGGAGCAGAAGAAGATAAAACCGATCCCCATGATTATCCTGTTTAGCAATAGACTTAGGTCAAACAGTCCAATGGAAGAATAACCAGAACATAAGGTTGTTGACAAGTCATGTTAGCTCAGAAACTGGCTCAGTTCGCCTTATAATGCGCCAAGCCTGAGCAATATTTTTCAGCTTGCAAAGTGCAAACCAACCAAAGCCAAGCTTACTCGCTCATATTTATTAACTATGCCAAGTTCAAGCTAAGATAAGCTCAACCCAAGCTCGGCTTGAGCATGATTAATTTATTATATACGTAACAATAAATAGACAGTCTACATGTCATATTAAATTAACCCCAACTCAAACAGAAAACTCATCTTCAGATGTTTATATCACCTTGATTATGGGACAGTGGGCTGCTTGTCTATGGCTTAACCAAGCTTGTTAAAGAGGTTGTTTAGTAACGAGGTCAGGCCAAGCCAAGCCAAGCCAAGCTTCCCTGCCTTAATCAAGCTAAGCTCAAGCTGGTCTACCCTTTCAAGTCAAGCTTAGCTCGGTTTGGCTTGGCTCATTAAAAACCTTGTGTGCGCGTCTGGGTGTGAGTGAGAAAAAGCGGGTGGTGGGGGCGTATCTACTTCATTAGTAAAACTATATAGAGGATTAGAGAGAGCAGTATTAGCATGGCCTTCTGCAAGGATTATACTTAGAATGAGATAGAGAACAAGGAGGAGAAGGCAACTAATATAAGTACAAGGATAGACAGAATGAAGTTAGCTATTTTAATTAACAGAGAGAAAAATACTTCGAGAGAGAGAGAGAGACTCATCTCGCTTTACCTGTTTACGAGAACAATTGTTTCTAAGTACGAGAGAGATGCTTTAAGTACGAGAGAGAGAGAAAGAGAGACTTCACTACCAGAACAAATACTTTCAGAGCGACAAGAGGGAGTTGTCTTCATTTACTTGATCATTAGCACTACTATTTTATGTACAAGAGATACAGAAAGAGACCTGTCAAGGACATCCTGGCGGCGCATGGTTGTGAGGAGGTTGCGAGTACGCATCAGCAACGAGCGGTGGCCCTTGTATTCAGTTTCTGCCTTCTTCAAAACTGTGGTTGAATTGTCTGATCCACATGACATGGACACAGCTTTAGAGTAGAAAAGGAAGAAATTTAACATTTTTCTAAGAAACTAGTGCACCAGAAACCAAAGCAAAATATTTCCATATTCATGCATTGACACCCCATCAGACCATCCACCATTCAACCCAAGCAGATATCGTTTCATTTGTTCCTAAGTTAATCTCCACAGTCCATGATCCAGAGCCAATAGTAGATGCCCTAGTCATGTACCATATATCATACGCAGACAGACCATATACTATGCAAATATACATCAAATGGTGTATGGTGTGCTCATAAAAATTAGCAGAAAACGCATATACACAGATAGAAAAACCTACCAAAAGTCATCAGTGTGCTTGCACTTCTTTCCACCTCCTGAAGAAAACCTTTAGCGAGTTACTAATGATGAAATCATGAAACCCCAATTACAGACATCCCACCAGTCCAAATGGGAATGCTGAACTACATGTGGGGCATTGGAATACTAAAAAGAACATTAAGAATTTCAGAATTAAAAACTTTAAACACAACCTGAACCATTAGTTGACGAGTCCTCCGTAGACTCTCCGTTATGTTTTCTGCAGCTCCTGTCAAACCAGCCTTTGTCCTGAAAATAATAAATGGGCCCTCAAAATCTAACTATAATGGCTCAAGTATAACAGTTATTTGAGAAGGAAAGAAGCAACAAAATGATAAGTCCTTAAAGTTCAAGTCCAATATGATTAGCTCTCCACTAGCAAAGAATGAAAGTTATAGATTGAACTAGAACAACCAAACATGGATAGACAATCTAAAGGCTGGTAATGCTGCAATTGCATGCTCTGTTACCATGTCATGATCAGAGGAAGGAGCGGGGAGGGTGAGGGGTGCTGCAGTAGTGAGGACAAGAAGAACACAGGAAAAATATAATATGCGCCTCACTAGGGCTATAATGTGTGTAGGCTCCCCTCTACGGTTGAACCGGATTACAGTTAGGTATATATACATTCTTAAAAATGTCCGCAAGTTAAAAATGAAAAGCTCTCAACAGGGTCAACTTAACCACTGGCAACAGCTTTGCCTGAGTTATTTGAAAAAGATGATAAACACTGCAATGATAAACACTAGAATGTCTGGAAGATTATGAACTTTATTTGAATAGTTTAAATAGTTCAATATGTAAGCATAACAAACACTACAAATATAGCAATAATATATTCCACATCACAAAATCCAAAAAGAAGCAGAAATATTGAACTTAATGGAAACAGAATTAAAGAAACATACTGTAAATTGCGCCTTCGAACGGTAGACTCCTCACCTCCTCCCAAGAGGAGCTCCCTCTGCAGAACAAAAATACCATTTTCAGGAAATAAATCAAGTACCTTGTCAAAAAGAATCTTCTTGGGATCAAGGCAAATCATTGCAAACCATTATAATGGATGTAAATGATACCCAATATGGTATGACATGCAGTAAATAATTTAATAGAAGCAAAAAAGGCAGATTTTGTTGGTGGTATGCACCGATGTAATAGAATTATCACCAATTGTATACACATTCAAATCAAAACTAATCATCATTATCAAAGCTTTTTCCTAATTAATTGGGGTTGGCTACACGAATCCCAGTCCGTCATCCTGCTCTATTAAGGGTCATACCCTCAGTAAAGCTATAAGTCCACGTATCTTTTCTCACTACTTCCAGCCATGTCCTTTAGGACCTACCCCTTGCCCTTTTTGAGCCTTCCACTTGAACTAACTCACACCTCGTAACCGGTGTTATACTAGGTCTGAGCCACACATGGCCAGTCCTCTTAAATCTACTTTATCTCATTTTATCATCTATTGGTGCCACACCTAAATTCTCCAAATGTATTCATTTCGAATTCTATCCTTTTTTGTCTCGCCACTCAACTATCTCAACTACACTCATTCTATGGGTATGTTATTTTTTGACTACCCAATATCCTACCCCATAAAGTAAAGTTGGTCTCACAATATCCTATAGAACTTGTTCTTCAACTTCATTGGTGTGCGGCAATCACATAACACTCTGGTTGCACATCTCCACTTCACCCATCCAGCTCTAATTTTAGGTGCGATATCTTCCTCAATCTCTCCTTTTTCTTGAATTATCGACACAAGATATCGAAAGTGCACTCTTTTTAGTATTTCTTGGTCGTCAATGTTAACTACTTCCTCATCTTTACTCCTATTTTACTAAACTTGCATTCCATATACTTGTTCTTTCTCCGGCTAATTTTAAAACCTTTAGATTCTAGAGAAACCCTTCAAAGCAACTTTGTATTGATGTCGTTTCACGTCTCATCCATCAAAATTATATCATGAACGAACAACATGCACCACGGTACCTCATCTTGTAAGTTCCTAGTTAACTCGTCAATAACTAAGACAAAGAGCTATGGGCTCAATGAAGACCCCTGATGTAAACCTATTGTCATTGAAAACTCACTCGTCTCTCCACTAATTATTCGTACACTAGTTAACGCTCTCTCGTACATATCTCTCATCAAGTCGATGTAGTGTCTGGAGACTCCTTTCTTTTCCAATACCCGCCAAATCAAATCTCTAGGTATTCTATTATAAGCTTTCTCTAGATAAAAAAGACCAGGTGGAGGTCCTTTCCTTTCACCTTAAACTTCTCAATCCGTTGTCTAAGTAAGAAAATAGCCTCAGTTGTTGACCTCCTAATATAAAACTGAACTGGTTTTCTGATACACTCATTTCATGACTTAATCGTTGCTCAATCACTCTCTCCCACAACTTGAGAGAATGGCTCATAAGTTTGAACCCGCAATAGTTCACAGAACGCCATGTGTTTCCTTTGTTCTTATAAATAGGTACCATGGTACTTTTCCTCCATTCTTCTGGTATTTTCTTTGTTCTCGATACCTTATTGAACAACTTGGTCTTCCAAACCTCTATTAGAATACCATATGGTCCCAAAGCCTACACCCTAGCCAACCCTTGCTCATTTCACCCTATACCTAGGTTCTGGTACAACACGTTGCTTATGGGGAACGCCTTAACGCAAGCAGATGTCTTATATTCTGGATTCATTAGAAGTTTTGGCAAAGTTTTACATTGGCTACCTACTTAACACAACCCACCCCTTTTACGCGGGCTTGGGACAGTTTAAGGGAAAGTTTAAGGTCTTCAGCCTTCTTAGACCAATACACTATTAAAATCTAAGACCAACAGAAAACAACCAAATATATTTTTATCAACTTAAGGACACTAAAACTAACAAAATTGGTGTTCGCAATCAATGGCCGATCTTCAATGAGCCTTAGCTTATTTTCGGGTCTAGATCCAATCTTGATTTTCACAAAAGAAATAGGATTTGAGAGATTTGACATTTGGATTTACTATTCAACTGAATTTTTCAGAGCTCGGATCTCCTCGATCCAAACTCAACCCCAAAAAATAAGTTATGTGACTTAATTTGGGTTTCCTAAGGAATCCTTGACAAGGATGTGAAACATCAATTTGCTTCTACATCGAAGATCAAGGGATTGGCTTAGAAATTCTAGGGATGTGTCATTTATTCCAATTTAAATTCATACAATTGATTTATTTTCTACTAACTCAAATGTAATTGATTTATAACTCATTAATATATAGTTTTATGTTTTTATTACTTTCTAATTTTTATTTCTGAAATTCCACTTTTTCAGATTTTCTATTTTTCAAGCCAATAAAATCAATTACTTCCTATTCTGAGTTTTATATAGTTTTTTCAAGCCAATATCATCATTGTACTCCTATTCTGACTTGGTTCGGGCAGGTGCACAGTCTGCTGCCTGAGCCATGTTTTAATGTACTGGCTTAATCCGAAAATAGATAACTCTCACATTGATAAACCATGCCACTAGTCATCACACATGATGATCAACTTATGATCTTTCATTATGAAATGTCACGTCGAGCTTTAGAGTAGGGAAAGTACAATCCAATCCTGACTATGGAAGAACCAGTCAAAGAGTATCATGTTATACTTTCCCTAGAAGTATGCCCCGTGCCATTTTATAATGTCTTTTTCAATAACCTTGTTACAATATGTTACATTCTTTATTGGTAGAAAACAATGCAGTTTTGGAAGGCCTTCTCAAAGTTGTAAGTACTTTCGTACCACAGATACAAACAATCATGAGCTGCCACACATGCACTAAATAGTCATGTTCCTTTGACATTCACAGTCAAAGAATCACCACCGCTCGTGCAAAAACAGTAAAACCATGATCCTCAACCTCATCACACACCCATTCAGATATCCCTAGTTGATATTTAAAGAATTCCAAGCCAAGATACATTGCCAAACATCAGTAGTGATAAATTGTAGAAACTATGTAAAAATATACTCACTACATTACTTTAGTAGTTACAAACTTTTGAAGGAAATCAAAATTACATAAATGAGAACCCTAATGTGCAGGCATGCATGCTACACACGTGCACTCACAGTGCAATTGCATTCACTAAAATGACCCCCGCACAATGCACAAAATATAAAAATGTACGACAGGGATAGCAGGCATTAGATAGATTACAAGAGATAGGCAGCAATGATGAAATAGCTCTTGGGAACAAATTAGTAACCTATACTTTTGAAGAAATATATAGAACAAAAATAATCCAAGCTAAAACTCTTTCCCAAATGAAATGACAATCCACTGTCATGAGTTTCGTAAGCTTGTGAATCACTGCAGTAGAAGCTATCAAGATTGTGCTCCTGTAATCTACAAAGGAAGAATTAGGGTACTCAACTCAATGCCCAATCTTGCACATGTAGAACTTTACCATTCTTTTATGGAGAAATTAGGAATTTCCAACTATAACAGATTGTTCAAAAGGATCTCCTATTCATTCATCAAAATATTATGCCTACTCGCCGTATTTGGTTTGGTAATGCCAGCACATTTTCCTATGAGAGTCATGATGATCCATGTGATATTTCTATTCTCTGCAAGAAGAGTGTTGCTTTTTATTCAGGTTCTACACTAGATTTCAACAACACATGTATATCCTTGATTTCCAAGAAACGCGAGAGTTTCCTAGTATTGGATAGCTTAAGGACATTGCAGTCAATCATGAGTCCTTGAACAGATTTCATGTCACATCTAATTATGTCATTTTCGCATCATATAATAACATGACTGTCAGATGTAGTCATAAAGAGACTTCGTAAATATAGAGGCCTAATTTGGTTGAGGCGAGTCCCTACATTATATATGATTGTGGGAGCATTCAATATGAAACTCTTTTTTGATTGATGCAGATTTTAGAATATCTTTCTCATTGAAAAACTTATGGAGCATGGATTTGAATAATTGTTGCTTACTTTTAAGTAGTATATTTATTGCTTTTTAATTTTTTGGTGATTATGCATGTATTTATTTCTGTTTTTTTTATGAAATGCAGTTATTGTTTCTATTCCTTTAACAAACAACTGGATTGGGATCACAATTCCCCAGACATGGGGATCGCACCTATAGGAGGTGAGGGGTTGCATTCCCATAGTGGGATCGCCACCGATGAAAGGAGATCTCACCAATCAAGAACGAAACACAACTTATTGCAAGGAATTTATAAAACTCGCCATTTTGACAAGGTTATATAAGAGAGGCTGTCCATTAGCTAGAATTCGCAGGTGGATCGAGGATTATAGCCCATTAGGATTAGAAATCAAGCCTTGTTGGTAAATGGCTATGATGGTCAAATGTTAAAACAGTTTAGATATGGAGAAGGGTAACCATCAACAAGTAAAGGCGAGATGGCAATTGGTTAAAGGTTGGGACAGGATAACCTTCTTTTAGTACAGCGACCAGCACGGGGGAAGTGACCTTTCATTAATGTGCTTCTCTACACTCTTCCACAAGCCAAGGAACCAAACATGCATGCTAAGAAGTGCCTTAAGTGGCATATGAATAGGAATTGGTGTCCACATTCCTAAGAAGCAAAGATTTCAAGATGCTCTATGTGTTTGATGGTAACATCTTATGAGGCGGCTATTGCAACCTCATGAGAAGACCAGCTAATCTTGAAATGAGAACCTACTGCTACTTTATTGGATAAACCAACCATTGCTTCTATACAATCCTTTAGGTTTCAAGATCTTTGGCTATCATTAAAGTTACTGGTCCCCTCAAGGGGCCAAACTTTTATAATGTTTTGCAACTATAACCATGGCTCTCACCAGCAACCATCCCCAACATACAGGAAACCAGTTTCATATGTTGGCATCATGTTCAGGGAGACAAAGGAGATGGCTGATCACCTTATGCACTGTTTTTTAGTTACAATTGTTGTCTTACCTTGTTATTTTCTCTCTTTGGCATAGGGTGGGTTATGTTGGCCTCTCTGGCTGGTCTTCTCAACTGTTGGGCTAGAAACCTTTTCCTAAACGGTCTCGCCCAATCGAAGTTTTGTCAAATTTTGTTTATCCCTATCATAATCGTATAGTCAAATTTGAGACAAACTGACAATCAATGCAAAAGCTAAACAATGATGCACATCCAACTTTTTAACTTTTCACCTAGTTGCACCAAAGAAAATTCAATAGCTAACGTCTTTCCGTTCAATAAGTAACAGAGCTTATTCAATAAAAACACAAGAATATACAAACGGACCATCATAAAATACAAAGGAGATGTCAAGACAGCATCTAAATTAGAAACATACAAGTTTTTCTACTAGAGAAATTCAACATGACGTATTGGTCTCGTAACCTTTTCCAAATTAGGAAACATAGAGGTTATATTGGTTTTAGATAACAATCCCAGTATTCTAATTAGAGATCCAGAAACATAAAATGCTTGGTTTTTAGATATTGTCGTTTGATGAATTTCAGTTATCTATCAAAGAAGGAGAAAATATGAGGCCATAGATACAAAGTATGAAAAAGTAACAGACCAATTGGGCGGCATTCTATGAAATTTTTAACATCAGATAACTAGAGCAGTTGCAGAGTTTACTTTACAATTAACTGAGTCGTGAACATCTACAATTTCCCAGTAAACAGATTTCAAAAACACAGTGATTAAATTTCAGACTTGGGCTCGGACTCTTCCCAAAGCCCCAGTCAAAGGCCGACTAGGCCAAGTCGGACATACAAGATACATGAAAATACATAAAAAACAGTGACTCCAGTCAAATTCACACTAAGTCTTTAAGTTATTGAAGGGTCCAGCGACCTGGGTGAGTCTGAGCCCGTATCACGGATTTTTAAAACATTGCTAAAACATACATTAACTATAATAGATCAGAGGTGATGAGTAGAACACCCAGATACAATTACATTAAAAATATAAAAGAGTGAATGGAATCGTTACCTCTTCCTGAGCGGCCTTCCGTATGTTTGCCTTTGCTTGTATGTTTGCATTCCTAAGGCTCATATGCAAACTAGAGGACAGTATAAAGGTGAATTAAACACAAAAAGGAAAATATGCAATAACAATAAAAGCATAAAATGAAAAGCAAATTCTTAAGAAAGAAACCCCAAAATTCGAACAAAGCAATTAAGGAAAACAAAACAAAAAACCAGAAACAGAGAAATGGGTACCCCAAATAGATGACTTCCAATTTCCAAATTAACCCCAAAATGATTCAAGAACAAAAATACTTCAAGATTACAGCAGCAATAAGATGAAGAACAAATATTCAGAAACAAAATCCCTATGGAATAAACAATTCAATACCAACTCAGAAGCCATTCAAAAACAACCAAGATGAAAATCAAACCAAAACCATTCAATATTTTCAGAATCCAACATTCGTCGAAGAAAAATAACCGTTCAAATTTCCCAAACCAATTGCATTTTTTCTCTGAACTCAAATTACTCAAGAAAACCATAACTGCATTTTCCACCCAAATTGACAAGATAGAGAGAGAGAGAGAGAGAGAGAGTAAATACCTCTGATACTTATCTTTCCATGATTTCAAAGTGGATTGTGCAGATTGGGTCCCTTGTTCAGTGGGCATCTGTTGAGCGAGAAGATCGAGCCTGAATTGCATGGATCTGAGAAGGGCCAATCCATCTTGGGAAGCTCCATTCAATCTAGGAAGAGAATTGGCCTCCTCTGTTCCGTTTCCTGACTTTCCACACCCCTCTATCGATCTCACATGCCCTTGAGTTTGAGCGTATGTCTCTTCCCATTCTGATTTCAGCTTTTCTACTGCCTCTTCCACCTCGTCCATTATGGGCCGTTTGGGTCCCTGGATACGCAAATCCTGGATATGCCTCAAAACCTGGTTATGCAGATTCTAGTATATGTAAAACCTGATTTTGAAAATAATGTTGTTTGGCTGGCTGTTGGAAGAACCCAATATATGAAAAATGCCCTGTTTGGCTCGACTAAATACCAGGTTTTGGTTGTATGTTGTTAAACCAGTTTAGCAGTTCATAAGTTAATGATTCCATAATAATATATCACCAATCGAAAAGATTTCTTGGGAAGAAGTTATCAATAATGTGACAAACTTCCAATGAAATATTTTTGATCATTTAATAGTCGAATTATGATTCTCTCTCTCTCTCTCTCTCTCTCTCTCTCTCTCTCTCTCTCTCTCTCTCTCTCTCTCTTCTCTCTCTCTCTCTCTCTCTCTCTCTCGTCGTCTCTCTCTCTCTCGTCGTCTC